CTACCTCTTAGTACGTTTGCTTTACTTCCTAGGGAGATTTAATCAACTTTATCTTCCTATATTTCTATTGATGTTTTTGTTTCTGCTGTCATGATTTTGTTTTTCAAGCCATAATTGTGGCTGTGAATGTTCCTTTGTATAGCATCTTGTTCTTGTTTCATGGATGCAGTATCTTTGACACTTAACAATGGTCTCTTTGACACTTTCTTCTCTCAATATAACCTGTTTCCTCCAAGTTACTTTTTCTGATTGTTTGTTTTGTCTCTCTCTTCTGCGTTAGAAAATTTTCTGGATGCCTGGTAATCCTTGGCCATGATTAAGGTTGTGGGAGGTGGGAGGGAGGCTAATCAGAAACTCTCAGCTCACAGGTTGGGTTTGCCATTGTAGGGTAGTCTAGCTGGGCTGTTGGCGGGGAAACCTCTATGTCAGTATCTTTAGGTCTTTTCTCTTGGGCTGGTGAAATACCCCAGAATAGAGTCTTCTGGTTTCCTGTCTGGAGGACAAAGGTCCTGCTCCCAGCACTTTGGGACCTTGATGGTAGCAGAAGGCTCAGGGTCTCTGCATTCAGCATTCCATATGACATGGTCACATACTCCCCTGGTTTTCTGTATTTTTGGTATGGTATCTCCATTCACAACTGTGCTTGAAGCTTCTCCAACCCACATACCCTCTATCTTACCTTCTTCAGAGGGAAATTCTCCAGGATCTTGCTGGAATTGGGGAGCGACTATTGCCCAGTGGCTGGGAGTTGGGGAAGAGATCTTGGGATCTAACTCCTTCTCATCCTGGTCCTTGTTTTAGCAACCTCTTCCACGGTTCCAGAGGTACCTTGGATGGCCGATTTCTGCGCCTTCTGAGAACCTTGCAATATAAACCAAGCTGGTTCTCAATTTTCCCCACTGCCAGTTGACATGTCTTTTTCCTCAGGGCTGATAAGTCAGTAACTGCATGGCTGCCTGCCATCCTGCTTCAAAAATTTTGTGGTGGTTGTCTCTTTTTCTGTTCCCTCCATCCTTGTAGGTCTATCTCTTGATTTAAAAATCTCTTTATTGAAGTTTTAGTGGGGTTTTGGGAGGGAGTGAAATTAGATGTATGCGTTCAATCACCATCTTGATCCAGAACCCTAATTTCCCTTTTCAATATATATATATTTTTAATTTTATTTATTTATTTTTCCCCCAAAGCCCCAGTAGATAGTTGTATGTCATAGCTGCACATCCT